ATCTTTTTCGGAGTTTGCAGAATTTTTTAAAAGGAAAAACTTTTGAGGATGAGAACAATGTAAAAAAGGCTATTTCTGAATATTTTGATTCAAAACCGAAATCATTTTACAAAGACGGGATTAAAAAGCTACCATCAAGATGGCAAGAAATTGTACAAAATAATGGTGAATACATTATAGATTGAAATAAGATTTAATTAAAATTTTTTGTTGCTTTTTTTGTAGATAAAAATGCACACGAACTTATGGACTGACCTGATACAAAATGTTTCTCTGTTGACTGATGTAATCCAAGATATTTTCAAAGCATGTTTTCCTTATTTCAATGTACATTAATTTCTTGTGGAAGATTATGTACTTTTTAATTTTTAAATAGGATATTAAATGTCCATCAAGATGTTTTGAAATTATTTGATGTAAGACAGTGATACCTCTTGCTTTAAATGTTTATGAATAATTAAAATATAATAGAGTCCTGATTAATTGAGAACTAGTTAATTTAATCAAGGTTCTGCATTATTTGAGGTGAATTTTAGGAGAGCACTTTATCAAAAAATCCATCAACAAGTTGTGTAACTCACAGCTTACACAATAAAGTGAAAATTGTGTGTGGCACCATCTGTTACGAAATTTTATTAATTAATAATGGTAAAATTTTTTGAACACTTTTAATATTTTATAATAAAAAAAGCTTAATTTTGAGGATAGAGATGAGTTTTATAAAAATTTTATAAATGCTAATAATGAGTAGTAAAATCTTAAATCTGATCCAACTCAAGATATAACATGACTCCTCTATTTACCCATTGACCTTTAATACACAAACCTCCCTCCAGAATTTTTCAACAAAATGCACAGGAGTTATTAATCTCCAGAATGGGGACAAAATCACACCCCATAAACACACAATCTATACATACAGAATAAACTCCCACATTTTTTGCATTTCTTAGTGTTTCAAGGTCCTTTGAGTCATCTTTGGACTCAAATCTTGGGGGCCATTTTTTTTGACCGATTGCCTTAATTACCCTCTGTTGTGTGTAACAACTGGGAAAGTAAAGACGGGAATGAATGTAGTACGATACAGTTCATTTCACAAGTCTTGTCTAGTGATTTGCATATTTGAAAGTGGTTCTAGAAATTTTACAAAGAATTTACTCTGACTTATAACAATAATCTTTTTCTTAAAATTTGTAAATAAATTTTAATTGTAATTATATGTTTACATTTGCTTAATTTTATTTACAGGTAAATTTATTAAAGTGCTTTATTGTATAAATTAAATTCATTAAATAGGTCTTACCTAAAGATAGAACATATATTATACAGATTAATGCTTCAGTCTAAAAATTTACCAAATATTCCATTTTATCCAAATTTTTGACTGTCCAAGATATCTTCAGTCCACATTATCTTGGATAATACAAGATTACACACAAACACACATATAAAAATTTGTATTTGTATTATCTGCAATTTATTATTATTATGGAGGTGTTTACTAATAAATATATTTTCTTCGATTTCTTTACTTGATGTTGTGTTTAATTCTTAACATCAAAAATAAGATAAATTTGTATGTTAAAATATTACATTAATGTTGTGTGTTTCAATTTTTTTTGTGTGTAGTTATCCACTGCAGGAGTTGGAATATTTGGAGCTGTATTTGCTTTGACTGTTGATTCTGCAGATACACTGGGTAAATAAAGTTGAATTTCTATTTAAGCAGTTTTATCCCTTTGTAAATAATTCTAATTTCTACTTTTATGAATGGAATAGTCAATAACATATAAATAAAGTTCATAAAAATATAAATGCATATAAATTATAACAAATAGGCTAACAACTGAATTTTTACTGAATTTATTAAAACCTGAATTTAGTAGTACACTGGCATGCAAAACTTAAGCAACGATGTATTAGGTTGTTCAGAAAGTAATTTCGTTTTGTCCGTGGAAAAAATACAATATTTTTATAATAAATAAATATTTTATTGAATTATATATCGACCATTTTGGTCAAATACCTGTTGTCATCATTTCTGGTAGTAGCATGATTTCACATTCATAAAAGTTTTGATCGTTGCTTACAAAAAACTGATCCAAGTGATTTTTGACATTGTCATTTCAAGTAAATGTCTTACA